ACAAACCTCATGAAGTTCAACAAGGCCAAGTGCAAGGTCCTGCACATGGGTCAGGGCAAGCCCAAGCTCAAACACAGGCTGGGGGATCAGTGGATTGAGAACAGCCCTGCAGAGAAGGACTTGGGGGTATTGGTGGATGGGAACTTACTATGAGTCAGCAATGCGTGCTCACAGCCCAGAAAGCCAACCATGTCCTGGGCTGCATCAAGAGAAGTGTGGCCATCAGGGCGAGGGAGGGGATTCTGTCCCTCTCATAAGACCCCACCTGCAGTGCTGTGTCCAGCTCTGGGGCCCCCAGCATAAGAAAGACATGGACCTGCCCAAGTGGATCCAGATGAGGTCACAAAGATGATCACAGGGCTGGAGCACTTCCCCTTTGAGGACAGGCTGAGAGAGTTGGGGTTATTCAGCCTGGAGAAGAGAAGGCTTGGGGAAGACCTTATAGCGGCCTTCCAGTACTTAAAGGGGCTACAGGAAAGATAGGGAGGGACTCTACCAGTGATAGGACAATGGATAACAGTTTTAAACTGAAAGAGGGTAGATTTAGATTAGATATTAAGAAAAAAATCCTTTACTGTGAGGATGGTGAGGCCCTGACACAGGTTTCCCAGAGAAGTTGTGGCTGCCCCCTCCCTGGCAGTGTTCAAGGCCAGGCTGGATGGGGCTTTGAGCAACCTGGTCTAGTGGAAGGTGTCCCTGCCCGTGGCAGGGGGGTTGGAACTAGGTGATCTTTAAGGTCCCTTACAACCCAAAATATTCCATGATTCTGAGATTAACTCTCAGGATCTGTGATGCTAAGAGTTGACCCCAGACACAGCAAGCTCAACGCACAGCCCACACAGCCCAAAACACAATCTGAAATTCCTCAACCTAATCTGCCCTGTCCAGAGCAGCTCCGAGCGTCACACACTGTGTTTCTTTCAAGGAGTCTGCTGTGAACATGCCCCTGTAATCAGCAGCATCTAGAATGTGATGAAAGCAGGGTCAGTAACCACCCAGAGCCTCATTCAAATGTGAATGTACCACAGAAGGGGCTAAAGACTGGCCATAACTTTGCTCTGGACTTAGGTCCATCGTGCTGCTTTGGGCTTTGACCCTGCACCACCTTTGGATGCACACCTTCATGTCCCAACCTCCTCTAAAGTGGCTCTAAAGGAGCTCAAGGTGAAACTGCTGAAAACTTAAGTGGTGTGTAACCTCCCACATAAAGTTGTCTGCGAGAAGTAAAAAGGTGGCTAATAGAATATGATTTTGTAGTGGGTTTCCAGGGAACTCCAAATTCTGAAGAACCAAATTAGCATGCAAAGGGATAAATGAGACTTATTGGAAGAGATGATGTACCCTCTGTCTTATCTCAAAACTTCCTGCAATTCTCCAAAGGACAGTAACCACACCAAATTAAATGGAAAACCGTAACAGAGTCCATTAGTGATAAGATGAAAAATTAAATACCCCACCAAACTGAAAAAACAGTTTCACACTGGAAGCTTGCCACAGACTGAACAGATTACAGAGGTGTGAAAGACCATTTAGAGAAGACAGAGGCCTAGCAGAAAAGCACAGTGAATTACTCCCACTAGCAAGGAACAAAGGGAATTTCCCATGCTACAACCTCCTTTTACAGGAATGAAAAAGGCAACCTGGTTCAGGTGAAAGCATCAGCAGGGTATGTTTCAAAACAAATTTCTAACACAAACAGTAAATGTTATTTATCCAAGACCTCTGGAGGAACCCCAAACACAGATCTCTCAGCTGCTATGGGACATGCAACCTGTTGCCTGAAACCAGAGGAATGAAATGCCAGGGTTGGGCTTTTTTTTAAGAGCTTTGGGTAAATCTGGGGATCTGTGACTTGTGAATCTGAGTTCCACACTGGGAATTAGGAATAGCACCCCTAGGCATGTAGAAAAATGGGATGAAAGGGGAAGAAACAACCCCATTCTGACAGAAGTCATGTCTTACTCCTTAGAGTGAGGAATCCTGCTTCATGGATATGGCTGGATAGATGGATGTACTTGGATTCCCAAAAACCTTTCAGCAAGGTCCCACAGCAAATGTCCTTAATGGCTCTTCTTCACAACATTTTTGTTCCTATGGTTAATAAAAAGGCAGAAGACAGTTAATGGAAAATGGTCAGTGTTTAAGACAGAGGATCATACCAGTGCTGTCTCACCAGGATCTGTACTTGGGCTTGTGATTTTTGCTGTGTTCATGCCTGGGAAAGGGTGTGAGCAGTGATAGGGCAGAGTTTGCTGCTGAGGCTAAGGTATGCTATGCAGTGAAAACGAGCACTCACCGCAGAGTTCAAGAAAGGACTCACAATGAACAGCTGCATGATAAAAAGAAATGAAAACCAGCATTGGTAAATGTAATTTACAAAGAGAAGTTCTAACTGCACAAAGAGAGAGTTCAGACCAGTTTGTCCTGCTCAAGAAAGTGGCCTGGGGGTTGGCTCTGTGTTTTCTCCCTTCCCTCTCAGAGAAGATACAGTGGAATTAAGAAGAGGCAGAAAACAAATCAAACACATAGGACAGAGAAGGCAGCCAAGGGAGAGAAACTGATACATAAAATCATGTGCTTTGGTGTTTTGGAAGCTATTACTTGTGAAGTTTTATAGCATAGAATCAAGTGCATATGGATTAAATAATGACATAGCAGGTTAAAAGCCAAACAATTTTAAAGTATTTCTTCCCTATGCATCATAAATCTGAGGAATTAATTGCCTAGGGTTGCTATGGATGTAAAATAATCTAGAATGGATCAAAAGCAATCGGATGCTTTTATGGAAAACCAAGCCAGCAAGGACTGCTAGATGGAAGAGTACTTTGGTCAGAATAATATCAAGCTGAGTACTTCTCAAAACATGTAGCAGAGGAAACAGGTTTATGCCTATATTGCTCTTCAATCTGCTCTAAGCATCCCCTACTGGCCACCTTCATGATCAAGGGTCCTGTGCTGGTTTGACCCCTTCAACTCAGTAGTTCCCATGCTTCTGTGATGCACCATAAGGAGTAAATTGATAAGCAAAGCCCTGGTCAAATACCCTGTCTTAAATGTTGCTGCAAAGCACTGTCACACCATATAAGTGTTTGGTGTGGACAACAAAGTTAACAGAGGATAGGAAAAACCATGTCAGAGATGCTGTTACAACACTCCAGTCACTTGATGCAGGCTGGAGTGAGGCTAAGAGCAGCATGAAGATCTTTGTCTGGGCTGAGGGCCAAGTAGGTCTTTGAGAAGGAAACATGTCAACATACACTATAGCATTGCCCAGGAAGAAGGCAAACATGAAGACTGCCAGTTTTGTGAAAAGAGATTAAAAGCCATACATATTCATGTTCATAAACCTCAAGTCTACATCAAATATGGCCGTAGAGAAGAGAGGTCAGAGTTAGGAAAAAGGGGAATGAGAAGGGTTGAGAATGGGAAAGAAGAATGAAGATTTCTGTTTTAGCCACCCCAATGGTTAAGTTCCTGGCCAGATACCTCAAGGACCAAAGGCAGATAAGATTCCTCCCAAGCCTCTGTCCCTCTAGCACTTCCATTCTCAATCCTGAGGATTTCAGATCCTTCTCACTGCTCTGCCCACCTTCCCACACCAGGCTTCTCTTCCTAAGCCTTCCTCTCTGAGCTCAGCTGAAGTCCCATGGGGAAACACAGTGCTCAGGGGATCTGTGGGCTGCCAGGCCCTCTTCTGGGTGCTGCCTCTGCTCACACAGCCTGCTACAGCCTGGTATTTGCCTTTTATGTGAGTACATCCCATTCAGTTCATCTCACGCCAGCTGAACTATAACATGATATAACATGAATGGCCCCACTTTGGCTTACAAAAAGCAAAGAGAAAATTGTGTAAGACAAAACTTTGAGTACCACAAGGCAAGCTGCTGCTGTAGGAAACAAGGTAGGGCTGCTCATGTAGCTGCTGCTCTTCAATGGAAATCACCTTCAGGGAGAAGATTAAAGAAAACCTTAGCAGAACTGATGCTCTCATACAGACCTGAAGCTCCAGTGCCTGACTTTGGCCATGAGATTGGAAGCAGGCAAAGACCACACCAGAGATGTCAAATTTGCATTTTATTCTTCAGAAGTCTATTAACTGATCCCAGCTCATCTCCCAGCTTTCCTCCATTGCTGGCACACATTTCTGCCCCTGGAAGCACAGCACCAGCCACACTGCTCTCCAGAAGTTTGGCTAGACCTTGCCTATTGGCAGAACATTGAGGGCTTGCTAATGCCACTTGTGAGCTGTGCCTGCAGCAGTACCCAGGAGGTACTGGAGGCAGCTGCTGTGGGAAAGCTCTTCACCACCCTTCTTGGTGCAGCATTACTCGTCAGGCTACAGGAGCAAACAGTGTTTTGTAACTGGATCTTAGCCCCGGGCTTACATTATGCTCTGTGGCACAGGAACTAGGACTTACAGAGCAGCTCCGTTACTGAAATGCATTTCTCATACATGTCTCAGTAATTGCATTAATGAGTTCTTAGAAAAGTTTTGGTCATGAAGTGGTTCTCTGTGCTACCCAGAAGGCAGGCTTTCCAGCTGCCCAGTGGTGGAGGAAGCCAAGGAGAACATTGGCATAGAGGCCAAGGCTGCCCAGCAAAAGGCCCCTGGGCTTAGCCAGGAGGAGTCTGCAAAGAACAGCCTCTGACTGCCTGGACTAGTTCTGTCCTGAACAGTCTCAAAGCAGCTGCCAAAACTCAGCACAAGGAAGAGAAAATGTATGTTAAATGCTGCAAGGGAGTGCTGGGGAGAGCCAGGATGTCGGGCTGAAACAGCCACTGCTTCCCTGGCTGGTCTCCACGAAGCCCTCTACCCTCAGCATAAAGTAGTGTGTTGTCCAGCCCTGGCTTGTAGCAATTCCAACCAGGATGAACAAGGTTACACCAATGATTCCCTGAACCGAGCTTTGGCTAAGGACTGGGGAGCAGTGTGCCAGCATGCTGCTGCAAGGGGCAGGACATCAGTTCTGCAGAAAGATGTTCTTGCATTTTCTCAGTTTAATTCCTTACTGGCAAAGTCCAGCGTCCCTTCGCACCCAGAGCAGCAGATGAACAGGATCAAAACAGAGGACTTGACGAGAAAGAGGTAGGAAATCAGTACAGGTACCTGAGAGAACACGCTGCTGAGAAATATCCAGTTTGTGACTATTAACAGTGTGAGGTGAGGGGTCTCCAGGCACACTGAAGTACTGACACACAGACTATCAGGCACTGTGGGTCTGTGCAGAGTGTTACCATTCCCATCCTCTCCCCTCAGGCAGGTCCAGGTACCACAGATAGAGTAGCCTCAGCTACTGAGTGCTGATGAAAGTTAATTTCTGCAGCAGTTGTGGCTAAAGGCACAAGGCCAACCAGGTGCAACAAGAACAAAAAAAAAAGTCGTCTGCTGTATGTCTGGGTATGTTCACCCAGTTAGGCAAGGCCCAGCAGCACTGGAAGATGACCTGCAAGAAAGTAAAGAAACACAACTCAGTGGAGGTCATAAAAGAAGGGCTCCATTCAGCAATCCCACTACAATATGTTTGCAGTTATCTATGTAGATTCCACCTGTTTTGTCTTTCTTATGCCTAACCTCAGACACAAGGAGCATCCCCTGGGTACATCAATACCCACTTACAAGAATGAAGTAACTGAGTCAAAACACTTCAGGGAGAGGATTTTCTCAGCCATCAAAAGAAAACAAGACAGGTCCTAGCTAGAAAGCTTTGCTCCAACACACATTCCTGGGAGTGGAACCACACAGAATTTGTCAATCCTGGTGCAGGGCTGCAAGCCCTGCAGTGGGTCTGCACCCAAGAGCTTGGTCTTCTGACCCCTCTCTACTCCTGCTGACAAATCCAGATTTTAACAGAGGTGTACAACAGCTCCACTACTGCTTCCTCCTGCCTTCAGTGGTTTGTGGGTTTTTTTTGTGGTGTTTTTTTTTTTTTTTTTTAAACACACTGTCTGAACAAGGGAGCTGCTCATCCGCTAGATACTTCAGACAGTTAAGATACAGTGCATAGCCAGCTGTGTCAGAAGCCTGCCCTGGCCCACTTCATATACTCTTATAACCCGCTCAGTATATTTCAGCCTCAGTAACCAGCTGTGTCTCCAGCTGCTGAGTCCTTGTTTAAAGTCCTCACAGGCTGCTGCTTTTTGTGTTCTCAGCCTTGCCTTTGGCTCACTGCCTCTGCTACCCCCTAGGGCTCTCTGCCCAGCACCCACTTCTGATATGTGCCTCTGTCCACAACATTAAGCCACTGAAGCTGACTGTTCTAGTGTGCTGATATGCTTTCTGATAGTAGTCGTCCTTCCAGCCCCAGGCCTCTAACAAACTGTGAGCTCCCTCCAGCAGTCTTGTTATTGTACTGCAAGCATAGAGGTGCTTGGAACCCAACCTTATGCCGATTTTTCCCATTTTTCCTGGTATTTTTGCAGTCCTGGAATGGAAGCTGGCCACTGCCTTCTGTTTTTCCTGCTGTATTTCTAGGTAGTTGGTGGCCAAAGCATGCTCCTCGTGGAGCAGGAAGGGAAAAGTTCCTCTGCTCCTCCATTTCCTAGGGAAGCTGCAATTGTTGTGGGCCTTCCTGTGTGCTGCCTCCTCTTACCTTGTCACTTGGGCTCTGCATCCTCATTGCTGCGAGTTTCACAGCTCTGTACAGAAGACTTCAAGGGAGTGAATGAGAACTGCAGTGAGAAGCAGAAAGACAGTGTTAGGGGAGCAGCAACTGGGATGCTGGCCACAACACAGCCCCTTTCATTGTGGACTTTTCTTTGGGCATCTCATCAAGCCTCTCCCAGGGTCTCCCCCAGACCAGCACTTCCAGTGAATGCAGTCTTGATCTCAATACCACTGAATAAAACCTGTGACCTAGAAGCGAGGAAACCAAGCACTACTTGTGGTAGCCTCCTCTTGCACATGGTAGGGCAGCTCCATGTGTCTCAGAGTGGCTGTGTGTGGCAATGCTTGGTAGAGGATATGCCCCAGCTCACCTGCCGGATTTCCTGCATTGCCAGGCGTATGGAAGAGCAGAGGCGAGGTAAGGCTCGCTGCCTGCCTCTCTCCTTGCCTGAGCTTGGCTTTTTCCTACTTTTGTCCAGGCTCTCTTGAGTTTGAGAACTCTTGCTCTTCTTGAGCCACCTGCGTCCAAGAACTGTGGCTGCTCCTGACCACAGAGCAGATCTACTGGTGGAAGGTTTGGAGGTGCAGGGCTGGACCTCTGGAGGGGTCTCCCCCTCGGCAGCTGGCGGGCCCTGCGTGAGGCACTCCATATCTTCATAGTCCAGACTTTCGCTACTTTCCTGAGGGAGGGAAGAGTGGATTCAGTAGTGGCTTGCAGACCCTCCACACAACCCAAACAGCACAACAAAGAGGAATACCCATTCTGTGCATCTACTGACATTCAGAGGCAGGAGGTGTCATCCACCTGCCAGGGCCTCTCTCCCTCCCAGGACTCCCCAGTGCCCAGCTAGTAGTGTTTCTTGGTGCATGCAAAAGAGGCCAAGCTGCTTGGCCAGAATGGAAAACCCCCAACTGGAACACAAAAGAGATCCTGCTGCTGCAGTGACTCTGTCCACCCATGGCACAGTGCCCATGCTCTTCTGGCTGCAGATCCTCCAACATTCACCTGCCCACAGGGAACAGTCAGTGTCTCCATGAAGGGCTGGATGCCCACCATCTGGTGATACTGAATCAGTTCAGCGAGGGAGGCGTGAGCCCGGTCTTCCCCCAGGATGACGTAGCGCACATTACGCTGCACCTGGATCATGTAGTGTCTGCAGCCATGCTGACCCCTGGGGAGATGGACAGACAGAAATAGTCATGGTATGGTGCCACAATATCTCTCCAGGACCCAGTCACTGCTTTCTGCAGTTGTCTCAAGAGGCCAGACGTGATCAGGAGCCACAGTAATAAATATCACGATGCAGGAGATGTCTCATGCTGGAGTGTCACACACTATGCTAGTAGGTGCTGCAGGAGCAGCACTTTCCCCAAAGCCAGTGACAGAAGAACCCTGGCAGCCGTATCTAAACCCCAGCAGACTACTGCCTCCCAAGCCTGCTGTCCACATTAAAAACTCTGTCCTACCCCTTGCCTGAGGCTGTACAAAGACCATGCCCTTGTAGCACTCTGACTGTCTCTCCCCTGGCCTGCCTCTAGACTGATCTCTGCTTCAGTCACTGCTTCTTCCAACCTGTTTTTTCCACTCAGCCATATAGCACAGCCTAAGCAGGACCTGCACCCTTGGAGCTGCAGCATCCCAACCACAAACAGATGTACTTTTTGCCAAAAGACAGACTCCAGTGTCCTGTCTGCTACTCCAAACTGAGGCACCCACAACAGGAGAGACTAAGCATCATCATCACTGGACTCCTCTGTGGGAAGAGTTTAACTCCTCCAGTCATGCACAGCTCAGTTTTGGACCATCTTTTTTTTCTGCAAGGCTCATTACCTACCTGTATGTCAGTGTGTAGCCTGGTCGGTTCTTGCTGATCCGAACAAGGAAGCAACCCAAAGGCTTGTCACTCAGCAAGTTTTCAGCTTCCCTGGAAGCAGGAAATAGTTTTTCAGCTGACTGTGAGCAGCTGCCTCTGTGCAGCAACTCCCACCCTATCTCCCATGATACCATGGTAGTGCTCCCAGTCCACAGGGAGGCCAGCATCTACCCCATCTGTTCCTAGTTACTGCCTCCTGACTCAGGCTTAGTGGTGCAGGGAGGCATTAGCAGATTGAGGAGGCAGGATACTCTCAGCCAAAGCATCTCCAAGCCAGGCTGCTCCAAACCTGTTCCTGCAGTCTGACTAGTACAATAGCAACAACTACCTTACAGCACAGAGCACATTACAAAGCCTTGCTGAGATGAGGAGGCACACGTGTATTTCCTGTACTCCAGGGCTGACAGAAGTCAGGATACTGTGGGATAGTGGTGACCAGCACAAGGTAAGCCCAGTGCCTTGGAAAAACACCAACTTGGATTACACCATTCTGGCTCTCTAAACTTCCTGCTGTAAGGAGGTCTTCCCTCTCTCTGCCCAGTAGACAAAGCATTGCTTTGTGCTTGTCATGTGCCTTGCTCCAGGCTAAAGGTGACTGCAAATCACCAGTGCAATTTGGGATTGCTCTAGCTGCTCTGTTACATAAGGCTGAGCTTATATTACTGTATGGAGACTTAAATTCAGCAACAGGAAGCACCAGTTCAAAATTGGCAAGGATCTGTTGCATCCTTCATTATGAAGTGCTCATGGCTAACCTATACTTGAATTCAGACAGCTTTGTCTTCCAGGTCCTTATTCCTCTCCTGCATTCTTGGATCTGTGGACAAAAGCATTAATGCAGGTGGGGGCCTTGATAATTATTGTAAAGAAAAAAATTGCAGCTACCAGGGAATTGTCAGCTACTGTAGTGTCCTTTACTAAGGTAACATGCTGTATAATTTCTGAGTGATGTGCACACTGATAAACTAATGAAATCCAGGAACTTGTGACCTAATAAGGCTGAAGGAAACTTGCAGCTTTATAGGAAAGAAGTTGCAAACTGGAGTAAGATAAAGGTGACAGGCATGCTTGGCAGCAAAGCTCACACAACTCCCACCAAATAAGGGACATTGATCTATGGTGCTGCAAGCATGCAGCACCATAGATTAATTTGTACACAGGGGAGACTATAGCTAGAAATTCTGACATCTACCTGCTAACTCCACTGTCTTGCTCCTACCTTATAACTGGCATAACCAGTATTTCTGATATGTAGCTCAAAAAGTAGTGCTTAGCTCAGCAAATAAAGTGTGAGGCATACCCTGTAGCAAGATTACAAGCATTTGAATACAGGCTTTCCAAAAAAAGCTAGAGTTCAGTCTTGTAAACAATTCCATAAGGAAGTAGGGCTTTATGGATGTCTCTCCTAGCCTAAAGGAATGTAAATTCCACTTATGCCACACTCTCCTTATATGGGCAGAGTTATCAACAAAAAAACTTCCTTTTCCTGTATCTGGGGGCTTTGGAGGTATCTTGCTGTTGGGAACTCAAAGTCCCTCTTAATACTTTTTAAAATAAATGTACACTGAATTCTGTATTCTCCTGCTCTAAACTGAGGTCTCCTCCCAACCTAAACTGAGAGATATAAGAACAGTTGGAATGAGTCAGACCAAAAGTCCATCTTCATTCCATATGTCTCTGCAAATGGTCTGCAACAGGGTAAATGCACACGTGTATTTCCTCTCCAAGTACTTTCCAAGCCTCCCTTCCCTGCTCAGGGTCTGTATTTAGGAACCCATAATGAACTTATTTTCTATGAGCTTCCACAGTCTTTCCCTGGACCCACATAAAGTTTCAGCATTTGCATCCGGTGATAGGGAACTCCAAGCTTCCCCTAAGGGTCTGAAGCACACAGTTTAGAAGTATAAGGCCATGCAGGTCACTCCCATTCTTTAAGGAGGCAAATCCTGGCAAATCCAACACAGTCCTCCTAAGGACACAGACACTTCTGCCTGCTGCCACAGCCCAAGCCATGGCCACTGTGTCCAACATACCTCCGGCTGATCATCCCATGCATCCAGCTTGAGAAGGCTCCATCATCCTTCATGACCTTCTGGGCTTGTGTGTCTTTGAACATGTGGAAAGCTGCTCCTCTGTGGAGTTGCCTCATTTTTGGTTTTGCATCAGTCTGTTCCTCTGTCCCCAGAACAGGGAAAGGTGCAGACGGGTCCAAATAGTTATCAAAAGGAGTGGACTGAAAATAGAGGGGGGAAAGCAGGCCTTTGAAGGTCCCCTGACTCTCTTAAGACAAGATCAGTCAAAGTATCAAAAGCTGCTTTCACTTCCCCAGAGATCCTGACCATGCTTTTTAACTAACCACAGTAGGAAAGGACTCACACTTCTCATAACAAGAATGGCAACGTTCTCTGGGGACCACACAAGAGAACATGTGCATGCAGAAGGTGGAAGGAGCAGGGAACCAGCACACCTGGGTAAGTGGCCCCAAGTAGAGCAAATATTGCTACCTCTGTTAGTGTGCTGCGTGGCTGTGGCGGCTTATCAAGAGAACAAGGCTCAGGATGTCTCTTTCGAGGTATGGGGACTGGAAGTGGGATTCTTTCTGCAACAAGATGAAAGACAGCCAGTGGCAGGCCGTTATCACCTGGGGCACACAGCACTTCAAGGTGATCATCCCACAAGTGGCCAGCATAGGGGGAGTGGGAGCAACTCACTGCGGGCATCTACTTTCATCACCATCTGCTGGATTCTTTCTCTCTTTGCCTCCTCCTGTAGCCGCTGTGCCTGAGCTCTTGGCTCAGCCACCAGTTTTAGGTAACTCTTCCTGCATCTGAATCCCCTGAAAACTGTTCAGAGAAAAGCTGTAGTTAGAAAAAAACCTGCTGTTCATGGCTTTGTCACTCCCTGGGGGAAGCGCACTGGGTGATATCCCTTCACCCAGTGCAAAGCCCTCAACACTTGAATCTACTGTGAGCAGGCAGTCAAAACCATGAAAATATCTTCTACTCTCTAAACTGCCATATCAAGGATTAAAAAAAAAAATATCTAAAATCTCATCTCTAATGCCAAGGCACTGAATACATAAAAAGCAAAGACTCACAGGAGAGCACCTGTTAACCATCTATCTTGCTAGTACCCTTCAGACACTGCTCAGTAAAAGCAAAGCTCTTCCATGTAGAAGACAGGATTTCCTTGGTGTCAGTCCACAGGACAATCTTTCCCATAAGCAGCCATCACAGACTTCATGAGATTTAGAGACACTGCATTATCATCTTGCCCACTCTCCCAGGTACCAAAGCACATGAACTGAAAGGCACACTATCTCATTTCCCACTACCCACACGTCTTCCTCATGGCTAAGAACAAGACACAGCATATGACAGTCTGATGTTTGTCATACTGTGTGGTGCAGAGCTAGAAGCTGCTCAGATGTTTCAGCAGTGCAATAACCTATTCAGAAGAGAAGTGCAACAGAGACCAGGCAGGATGACAGCCTCTTCCTCCTGCACAGTTCTCATGGTGCCTGTGCCAAGGGAAGTACCCAACTGCCCACAGTGCCTGCTCTGAAGAAACAGGCTGCCAGAGTGGACACTACCTGGAAAGGAAAGAAAAGAACCAAACCAAAACAACCCTGAAACCTCATCCCCTTCCGCCCGTCTCTGAAGGTAGGAATGAGATCTGCTTCACTCATCTTCTTTTCCCTCTCCTCAGTTCAATACTGCTCAAACAAGCCCTCACTCCAGAGGACAGTTAGACAGATCTTGGGACACAGCCAAATCATATGCCTGCCCAGATCAGCTCAGTTCTGTGCGCATGCTCTCCCTTCCCTAGGCTCACACTGTCTGATAGTTATCCCCGACTGAGGAGGAGTGCTGCGGAGGTGGGCATCTGCATTAAGCACTCTGACTCCACGAGGCTTTGACATGGAGATGGGGCCTGCCCTGCGTTTCTGACATCTGCAAAGGTGCAGTGGTGGAGCAGGGACTGGAGAAATGTTTTTCCTTGGCCTGGTGTGAGATCAAAGTCAAGGGCTTCTCCTGTCCCAGTGCTCACCTGCCTGTATGACAACTGCTGCTCCTTCCAGTTTCTCCACATACTTCGCCAGCTGCTCCTGGTGCCAATACTTAAAGAAAAGTCGTGACTTCCTGAGAAGTTGAGGAGAGAAAGAAGCAGTGAGAAACACTTTGTCTAAGCTTGCATCCATCATCCTTTGGACAGACCTTTCCTACAGACAAAGTTTTCTCTGAAGAGAACCAAGTAATAAAGTCTCTGCAGTTCAGGCCCCTGATTTCCAGCAACAGTGATCCACACCTACCCACATAACCAGCCTGTCAGCTCTGTACTTTGCAGTATCTCCAAGCAGCTGCAAGAGAGGAAAAAAGTAGAATAAATAATTTTCCCCCAAAAGTGAACACTAGGGAGACAGTGGTTTTAGGTGCATAAAGGAAGTGCCCCTTTGCAAAGCACAACTTTGCATTACATTCTCTGTCACCCCATCACATTCAGTAACTAGCTGTCAATTTGTAGTGCTCCCTGAGGTACAGCTGGGAACATCAGTAGAGGGATTCCCAGAGGCAGATTTCCCTCAACTTCCTGGGAGGCAATTCTGCAGAGCCTATTTTGTTCTCAGAACTGTTTCTCCTCATTTAATTTCCAAGCACTTTGGGACACACAAGTTGCAAGACTTCTGGAAGAAAGCCTGTTTTCCAATTCCAGTTTCATTTTGCAGACTCTAGTGATAAAATTGAGTCACTTGAAAAGATTCCCCAACACTTGGAACTGAAAGCATTACTCTAGCTGCATCTCACAGACAGCTCCCTCCCTCTGCCTGCAAAACCAGGCTGTGAAATCACAGTGGCACTTCTATTACTATCTCACATAGAAAACCACTTCTGCTTTGCTTTCTCAGACAGCTTCCACTGTGCCACAGTCTGTATCTATGTTCTCTTCTCAAACACATCCTATGATTTTAGTGTCTGAAAACACACCATGCTGCCTGATTACTATCATCTCTCATTCATCTATGAGATTCTCTTGACTTCACTTGGGTACACAATTCTTATTAATTTAGAATTGTCAGTAACTGCAAGGAAGCACTGTGAAGACCAGAGGAACTACTGCCAGGAAAGAGCTGGTCCAGGAGAACATTCAAATCCTTTTCTTAAAAGACTAAAACAACATAAAGAACAAAAAAAACCTGGCTGCCTTATATGCTTCGTTCTCACTATCAGTCACAATTGACCATGGTGGGAAAAAAGGAAGGACTGGGAAAAATGGAGAAGAGGAGGTAGGGAGTTGCTGCCTTAGATGTGGAAAGGAAAAAGCTGACAGGGCAAGACTGCAGAGCTGGGGGGGACATTTGTGTATGTCAGGAACAGTCAGGTTCTGGAAGTGCTGAGGGTATATTATGCCTGTTTCTGGTCCAAGAATTTTTTTAACATCCTCTCTAGCCTGACTGCAGTGCTGGTTGCTTGCTCAGCACTCATCTTCTCCCATGAGACTATCAGGAAAAAACCTAGAAAGGCACTTGGCAACTGTGCTGAGCCCCTGCCTTACTGAGTTCAGTGGACACCTTTGATCATTGTGACTCCCTAAATTGAGTACATTAATCAGTTCTCATTCCATAGGATAGCACAGCTTCATAGCAAATGAATGGAATTACTACATAATTCAAGAAAGATTTCATTCATCATTGTACAAAATGCTTTATAAACACTGTCTCTGCCTAGGAATTCGCAATCTCCATTACCCAAAACCCCACCCTCACTTTGTTCCTTTTAAGCAGATTGCTATGCTACCCTGAGAGCAAGTCTCTGAACAAACTGGATTGCACATAACAAAGGAAGGGTTCCTACCTTTCTTTTGTGAAGGGAACATCTTGTTTAAGTAGAATAATTCCATATCTGTGAAAACCAAACCAATTCAGCAAGGTAAGAGCCCCATCCTTGATGGGGTCCATGTCTCCCTCACAGCAAACAATAAATCACTGTCTTACCCACTTGGCTTCCCACAACAAACAACCCCATGGTCTCAGGCATGTGAGTTTTAAAGAGGCAGTTTTACTCTGTGCCCATATCTGGTTACCAGGGTCACTTCCCTAACAATAACCAACAAGGAACATGCAGAGTTTTTAACAAACCTTTTAACAAATTCCTCAAATGAGGGTCTCCAGGAGAAACCATCTCTCCGGATACGGATTGTCTCCAGCAGTCCGTTGTACTGGAGCTGAAACAGCATCGCAAAGAGAAACAAATAGAAACAGGTCATTAGGACACGAGCTTGTTTCTCTGCAGCCAGAAATTCCTTCATTCAGCTCTAAACTTGTCTAGTTCAAAACAAAGTTATTTTCTGAAAGTTTCTTTGGTTAAAGACTGAATTTACCACATCCTGTAACTCTGATGATTAACCACTCAGTTAAAAAGTTGGAAACCATATAAAACAATGATTGAAATAACTTCACCTCCCAGCATGGGTCCTGCTTTGCCTCTGTCCCTTAGTCTTTTACTTCCAAATCTGGACAAAGAAGTATTCTGAGGCACAGATGAAGGTCCCTCTTAATCCTATCCTTTCTTATATACATTAAACAGGCCGCAGAGCTTTCTGAACTCTTGTAATAATTTTTAGTATTCTTTAAAACATCTGGATCTCAGACTTGACAATACCTAAAGACAGTCATATCAGCACATTTCAGCTCCTATCAAAATGATCCTATCTTGGCTTCTATTCAGAGCTGCCCTGGCTGATGGGTAAGAATAGTCTCCTCTGGGAAGCATAATTTTTTCTGGAGTACTGTCTGTACCAGTCCTTATCCAGGAGATGCAAAGATGAATCCTAGTACCTGACAGGCAGATCTCATTGCATTCATGAAAAAGAAATGGGAGGGAACTAGGATTGTAAAACCTGGACCTAGCAGTCTGTTGCAAAACCAACCAAGTACCCAGAACATTTACATGCATAAAAAGCATGCCCACATTTTCTCCTGCAAGAGGAGACCCAGACCAGTCAGCTTCTAGGGTTTCCACAGCATTTCAATGGGGTCTGCCCTCCCCACCAAGACTTGGCATAAGTACCCGAGACCACTTTTCCTCACCTGCTGCAGCACCACCTGGCTCTCCACCACACCTGGCTTCTTCTGACTGTTGGGTTTTATACAGTGCACAAAGTGAGAGTTGGCAAAATACATCTTCTCCATGAGCATCATCAGGGAACGCTGGGGAGGGCAGAGAAAGATCAACAGTCCAGCAAGCCAAAGCACTGCCATATCCTGGCATGCCATATCCTGCAGCAAGAACTATTCTCCCACTCCATGGCAACCTTCAAGGCTGTGATAACAACCAGGTCACTCCTGCCACAATCAGCTGTGCTTGGCACCCAGAAAAACCCCTGTCTACATGCTGGATGCTTGAACTATGATTAGCATCCTAGAAGTTCTAACTAAAATATCACTGCATTCATCTCAAGGGGCACTACAGGGCAGCAATGCTTTACCCGGAACTGAGCTCCAGCAGTTTGTTTTTGTGTGCTGTTGAACTTCTTGTCTGCTCCTGGTATGACCTGAAACCAGACCCAAACAAAAGATCATCCCTGAAAGAAGTGCTTGATTGCCACTCAAAGCACTCTGGTGGAAGGTAGGTAGCAAAAAGGAGGCAATGGATTTCACAGGAGGGAAGACAAGTTAAACATAGCAGAAACAACCAGAAAACACAGTAAAAAACAAAGGAGAAATTGTTGCATGCAGATTGCTGTCTGCTCTTACTTTCAAGCAATTTCTGCCTGCTCTCATTTTCAGCCAGTTTCTCAAATAATAAATATCTGGTAACTCTTGTGATAATTTATTGATTTCCACATGGACCTGAAGTGCCATACCTTGGCTTTCTTATGAGGCATCAATGTCCCCGTCCTGGAGAGAGTGGCTGGAAGAACAGAAACAACAGTTAATTTTTGCTTGCCATCAACTATGTCTAAACATATAAACCTCACCTTACAGACAAGTCTCTCTACAAATACTGAATCATCAACAAGGTGTTAGGTTTCACTATCTGGAAATACAAGGAAAGAGCTAAAGAAAGGGTGAAGAAAATGCAAATATATGAAGCATACAGTGCAGGCAGTATTATTTTCTGCCACTGAGAAGACAAGGCAATCAGGTTATTGAACAACCCTAAATCACCTTCAAAGGAACTATCATCAACAGGCACCTAACAAAGCAGGAAAAAAGTACAGATAGGAAATGGGAAGTTCACCTACAGCAGTCAATACAGGAGGTTATATAAGATCAGATAGCTTAAAACTCATTCAGTGACAAGATAAAAAATTCAAGGAAGTTGAATTTACTGAAGGATCTAATGACAGTCTTGTGCACCTTTGATGTAATGGTACCATGTGAATCACAGAATGGTTGAGGTTGGAAGGGACTTCTGGAAATCATCTGGGCCAACCCCTTTGCTCAGCAGGGCCACCCAGAGCCAGCTTCCAAGGACTAGACAATCAGTCTACACTGGGAACAGGTTCTCTCTGATGTTTATGAACTTTCAAAGAGTTGGGACTAGACTAAGTATCTTCTGCAACAGTGTGAAAGTGGTAATGAAGAAATACACTGCTGAGCAGAAGAGCTGAAAAATACAGTGGAGAATAGAAATTAATCAGTTACTTGTAAATCCCAGAAAGTGGCATAGACTGAATAGGACAAAAAAAAGTTCTGTACCAGAAGCACTGTATTCAGCTAGACAAATTCTAAGGAAGCATCCACCTGACTACTTTAAATGTTTATTTTCACAGAAGCCTTGGAGACTCTGAGGGCTTATCAATAGCTAGAAAAAGGGATAGTGGGAGAGAAATAATGCATGACCTCATGTTTTTAACAAGTTGTACCTGAAAAAAAATTTTTGAAGAGGATAATCTCTACACATTGCTTGTGGCTTTACATCACCTTATCTTCATAGTGTGAACAGCTAGAAGCTATGACCTTGGCCAGTTTCATTTCAAGACAAGAACAGAGCATGTGGAGAGGGCCACTAGAGACAGTCCAGCAACAGCCCTGGAGATGGGCTATTTGATCTGAGGCAAGACATCTGAGCAGTGGATAATTCTCTGAAAGGGGATACAACGTCCCTTGCTTTCCAGGGAAAAATGAACAGCTCGCTGCATGTCAACAGCTGCACTCCAGGCTGCAGCCTTCCTGGAGATTCCATGGGGAATGTTCCAGCTGTGAAACATTCATAGCACACAAGCCTCATCCCCATACTTAGCTCTTGCCAAGGTGGGCCTTGATTCATGTGGGATGTCCTACCATGGTCTAGACCCTGCTTTTGTACCTTGATGTCCCTTCCAACCTGGTATTCTATGATCATTAGCAGAATGACTTGCCTGTAAACAGTACACTGAGCAAGGGGTTGATGCTATTCATGAAGAGCCCATGGATACTGGCTGGAAGGTCATCTCTGTTCTTCTCTAGAAAGCCCTCAGCAGTATATTGTACCTAGGCAAAAGGGCAGCAAATCACCAAGGACAGCAGTGCTCACTGGCTTGCTCTGAAAGTCACCTCCACAGCTTGCCAGGAGCAACTATTAAACTGAATGTAAACTTGAATTCGGTATACTGGCTCAAAAGTGAAGCTGTAAATGCATATACACTCCATTCAGATGCAAATCCTGAGGAGTAACATGCTGCAGATAGCACTGAGGCATGAGAACCACAGGAGTGCAGGCACACCACAAACATCCACCTTTCTTGTTCTCTTTTCCTTGATTATGAGCATTTCATTTACTTTTGGCTTATGCTTCACTCTTTTCCTTGCTCTCTCCCTCTCTAAAAAGGCTCCCCTCCTGTTATGCATCCCCTTGCTTCTCTTGCTCACTTCCTTTGTCATGTCCAGCCTGGTGCTCTCCTATTTATGTTGGGTGTTAATTTTTGTAATAAAGAATGTCATAAGTAATAACTTAGTTACCAATGATGAGATGAGATTACTAAATTACATATTACAATGACCTGAATTGTCATGTCTGCTCCTACTCAAAAAATTGTCTCCAATTCAAAATATTTGGGTCAATGCTTTCAAAATTGATGGCAGTAAGGTCACATACATAGTCCTAAGCCCCAAGCTGCTTAAATAACATTTGAATGTATAAATAATTGCCTCCACTTTCAAAACACCTGGCTGCTCTGTGTTCCTCAGTACTTGCAATAAAATAGTGACTGCTATGCTCTGGAAACCAATAGGTAAAGGTAAAGCCATCAGACTGACCTCTGGTGCTGCACAGCGGACACAGATTTTATTTTATGAAGGACTACTTTAAGAGGTCCAATGATGATGTGTACAGCCAATTCTTCTAATACCCTATGCTGGTAGAGATAGCTTGACTTCCCTCAGGGATCCTCTCTTCCTGTACCTTCTACAGAAATCCCAGGGAATCCTAGGAGCCAACTCCCTGGGAACACATTACTTCTGTTATATCATCAGAATATACACTCCTTAACATCAAAGCCTTATTTGTCAAGCAACACATTTCCCTCCTCCTACATAAGTTACTGAAAACAGTACATACTTTCCCTGCGTAGTGAAGGATGCTGAAGCCCAAAACATCGCCTCGACCTGGCTGGAAGTGTAAATTCCCCTTGAAGCTGCTGTTTAGGTTATCCACAAACATCTTGTCAGTTGCCTGCAAGAAAGTAGATTTTAAGGCTGCAACAGAGTCCTGATCAGAGTGCATGGAAGCAAAACAAAGTGCTGGACAATATATACTGTACTCTTCACAGGGATGCCAGTATGATTGGACTGTCTCTGATCTGGCTGCCCTATCTCAGTCACACATGGGAACACTACTGCTCACCCTGTCTTTAAAGTCACACTCCAACATAAGAGCTCTCTCTGCTGCCCAGATACTTATTGCCACATTCCCCCACGCTATTTTTTCTGCCCTCTATCTCATGCATACCTGAGGGAATGGACTCTGCTCATCCAGAAGAGACAGGAGCCCATGTGGCTTGGCCAGGAACAGATTCTGTAGGGAAAGGAGACACATTACACATATCTAAAGCAGTACAGGACATCTACTCTCACCTACACCACCCTTTGAAGATGTTCTTCCTAGGTGCATCTCCTCTCCATGGTAGGAAGAGCAAGAATCCTTTCTTGGCTGGATGAAGCAATTCTGCCAGTCCTCTCACTCACCAGAACAGGTTCATTGTTGTTGAACGTGATAGCCTCCCAAGGTATCTCTTCTTCCTTATAGGCAGCCTGTTCCAGCTGGAAAATGTGCTGAAACAGATTAAAAAAGGTTGTAGCACCCCTGAATATCTTCCTTCCCATGCTGAACAGAGGACAGAGGCATGGCTCTCTCACCCACAGCATCAGAGGCCCAAGATGAAACTGCTGTTCTGCATGCTCATCTGTAAGGCTGTCACTCACTGATCCTGGTGCATAAAGCAGGAACACCTCTCAAACTGTAAGTGTTCCTACTCTGCCAACTTTGGTCACTGCTTGATCCTTCTACTCCTTCCTTCCCTGCAATAGTGACTCCCCCACCACAGCAGAGGAGGTTGCTGCTCTCCATCCTGCTTCACTAATCACCATTTCTGTCCTTCCAGGCAGTACACCTGTTTTTCCCCCAAGCTCTCCTTCATATGCCAGGTAGATCAGTGCTCTGTTTTCTCTGCTGCACAAGGTGAGATGACCTACAGCAGACTTACTTGGTTGAAGTAGTACTGCAGCTGCTCATTGGCCAAGTTTATGCAAAGCTGTTCGAAACGATTCACTGCAAAGTTTTCAAACCCAAAAATATCCAAGATACCTAAAAGAGGGAAGGCAAGACACCTAAAAGAGGGAAGGAGCCTGCAGACCATCCCTGCAGATAGCTGCATACCCCAACACACAACTAAATCTCCTACCACTTACCTCTTGTGGCACATGGAAACCCCAGCCAAGTCACCAGCAGCACCCTCCCATAATGCCCACTGGAGAACTAGTTAGGAGAAACCCCACTCCCACCCCCAGCTCTTCTGCAAAATCAGAGTACCCAGAACTACAGCCTCACAGTTGCTGCAGATCAACCAACTTCTCAGAGTTGGCCAAAGCCCTGCAGACTTTATGCTGGTGACTAGTATCTTCAATATGATCATGTCTTTAATAATGGATCCCTGCATGCAATCTCTGTGAAACATCCTGTTGTGCCTTTCCTTCATTGTGACTGAGGGATGCACATTTAAGGACAGAACAGAAGCAAGGCAGGCAGAACTCACCTATCTCCCCCAGTTCCTCCTCAGAATCCACCTTCTCAGCCAGCAGCTCATTGATCTTGGAAACAATCCAGCCAAATACTCGGCCATAGGCCTCCTTTGCAATGGAGTCCCTAGCACCTGCACAGAGCAAACAGCAGCTCACTGGAAGGGCTCCAAGGAAAGCAGGGAAGATAGCACACAAAGTGGCTCAATATATTCACCTCTAACAACAATGTCTAGTGGTTTATGAATCTATTTTAAAGATCAGATAAAGATATGTATGATCATCCCTGCCCTCTGCATGCTCACACAGAGCTCTTTCATTCAAAAATCTTCACAATCTTTCTATAAGATCAGACATGCCATGCTAGGGCACTTGTGAGACCATCTAGAATGGAAAATTTCCAAAAAAAGTCCAGCCACTTTTCAGAATATCCTGAGACTTGCCTTCCCCTCTGCAGGTCTACTGAGTATGGATCCCCTCACTGCTAAACCAAGTGAGAGGTTCCAAGTTGTACTTGGAAAATTGAAAGGTTCTGTTCCTCCTAGTCCACATCTGCAAAATGTTTAAACGTTGTGAGCAAGAGGAGGATACAATTGATTGAAAACTTGCTGACATCTAAGAACAAAACCAAATCAACGTGACCTATTGCATGATGGGAGATGAGCATTTTATTGTTCAGAGAGGTGCAAGAGAAGACATTTGGGAAACAGAACTAGCTCATTTCCCATTTCCAGTTTTTTTTCATTTATTTTAAGAATTAATCCAGAAATCCTGAGATTTCATGCTTTTTAAATTTATTTTAAAAATCTTTTTACTTTAACTGAACCTTTTTGTGCAGATTCTCAGATTATCATCTTTTCTTGTTGAAAAGGAAAATAAGACCTTGTGTTTGCTACTTTTAACATACCCCCCTTTCATGTCACTCCTTCCCTGATACTGTGCTGTCTCAGTTATTTCTCCATCTACTATCTAGAGCTCTGTGCACTACCAGCACTCTGCAACAGGAGCCCTCCCCTCTTTTGTACCTACAGCTTCCTTCTAGGCTAGACTGAGCAACAAAACAAAGCTAATTCATTGGTTTCTCATTTTAATCTCTGCAGTCTCCTAGAGATCAAACGAAAGTAGCATTCATGGTCCTATATGTCAACAAGAGACTAAACAGATAAACATTGATATACTTGCCCCTGTGCAAGAGGAATGAAGGGGCACAGACAGACATCTTTGTTCTCAGCAAGTTTCAGATGTGTGGGGATACCCTTCCATCAAATATAGGTCAGTCTTTCTAGCCAGCACATCTGCAATTCATTACATTTCTTACCTTCTGCCTGCTGCTGGGTGTGAAAACGCTGAATCTGCTCGCCTCGGGTCACTGACGTTGTACAAATAAGGCATTTTAACAGTTCATCTTCTTGGATGCCAAACTGAACCTGGGAGAGAGGAAAGAGATGAGGACAGTTAATAGTAAACCCTTGTTCTACTTGTGGAGGTTGTATCTCCTTGCCTCTGTGTGGCACCCAGCACAATGGGGTCATGATTCAGATTAAGGCCTTTGAGGTCTACTCTAAGGTAAATATTACTGTTAACATCTGACAGCACTGGAGTCAGATGCGGGCTCCAAGATCTCCATTATCCCTGCTGTGACCGAACTCACTCTTGCACTCTGCAATACTTTGTTTTGCTCTCACCATGCTACCACCTTTCACCTTCTTGGGGAGCAATGCCAGACCCTGCTCAGTGGTTTAATGACTTATTGAACAACACCAGAAGTGACTGTGCAGGTGCTGAGATGTCTGAGCTTCAGTAGACAGAGTCACATGAACCCACAAAAGAGAGGAAACAAAGGGAAATTGACACAAACGAAGCCTTTAGTGATGGCTTTAACAGGAATTCCCCTTCTATACGGAAAAAACAAGGAGCAGACTTCAAGAAGTAACAGAAAAGTTGGCTGCTGAACAGATGTAGGTGGTTGTTTCAGGTATAGTGTAGGAAGGAAACAGGCAAAGAGATCAGTGTGAAACCAAAAACCAAGGGTGCTGGGATTTCAAACAGGTCAATATAAGAAGACATAGAAAGGGCAGAAATACAACACATGTTTCTGTTGGGTTAACAGGCAGGATAATGTATCCATCCCATATAATAAAAATGGGATGGTCCTGGGGAATATATTCTACTTAATCTGTGATAATTTCATGTGAAATAGTAGAGAGTTTAATTCTGGATAACCAACGAAAACTGACAGCAGCCAACGTAGTATCTTTGGACAAGATCTGTCAAAGACACAGAACTAGGGTTCAGACACTGCACACCTGAATTTCTCCAAGGCATCAACACACTTAGTAACATATAACATTTAATTTTAAAAAGCTTGTATTTTATGAAGTAAGCAATGCACATGTGATACTGCCCTATGCAAGACACTGGTTCTAGACACATAAGAAATAGGGAAGTGTCTTTTGGGGAATGACTAGCAGTGAACACAAATGCAGCCATGGGGTCATACTGTGCATTTCTGGAAAAAGCTCCTTGTTCTTCAGGATAAGCTCCTGCAGTCACACTGCCAGTAGGAACCAGCATCCTATCCATAATGTTTCTGTCAGCTCTTCCTGTGACTCACCGCTGCAACCTTCAGCCATCCATGGGAAGCTTTGCTCACTTTTACAGACCCATTGCCCTCAGGTTCAAAGGTCACATTGCCCAGAGACAACACACCAGCCAAGATAGTCTGCATGTCCACTTGCTCCTAACACACAAAAGAAAAGTGGCTGAAAACCCATCAGCATGTAACACAACATGGAGGCCCCCAAAATTGGAGAGGTGAGGGAAAGGCATAGGCAGCCTGTGGGAAAAAGCTCTACACAAAATCTGACAGACTCAGGCGGTTTGGAAGCAACACTGAAAATCCAGAGAGGAGAGAAATAGGACTGAGCCTCAAAACAGCAGCCAGAAAGAAATCTTATGCCTGCAGGAAGTAGAGAAGGAAATTAAATGACTCCAGAACTAACCTGTTCTTGGAAGCCCACCATGTCAAGGGCATTGCACACCTCTTGGTATTTGCGTTCCCAACGCTGAGCTACATCCTGTGTACCAAACTGTCCACTTATGTACCTGAGAAAGTGTATATCCCATTCAAAACCATCACACAAATCAGCACAGCAAGTCAGTCCTCCCCCAAAGGAACAAAGCAAATCAGCAGCAGTGGAGACATGAAAGGGACAGAAACTTTTCCAAGGTAATGCAGCAAAGACCAGACCTCCCAGCTTCCATGATGACCCATACAGGTAGCTCCATTCAGATCCCCCTCCAACTTCCAGTCATTGGTTTACCTGTACCGGGCTCCATAGATAGAGCCACAGGGCAGAGGCATAGGTTCCATTATGTTTTCCCCTCCACCCCCATCATGAAGACTAAACTCGGGTCTGTCTGCCTTTGAAGTACCTGTAGAGTGAAGGATCCAATAGCCCATACATCTCCTTTTCCTCTGATGAGAGTCCAGCAAACATATAGAAGAAGATATGGAAATTCCTCTCCCCGGCATCTTGTTGCACTACCCGTGACTTCTCTAACAGGTACACGCTCAGCTTTGCGCCTTGTACTGCACACAAGAAGGTGAGGGGGTAAACTTTGCACTTGGGGACAGGAAGCTGAGCTGTCCCACATCTCTTATTTGGTGATAGGAGCATGGAATTGTCTAAAATAACTTCCTTGTGTGCAACACCCTCTAGGCTGCCCAAAACCCTGGAAATGGGCTTCTCCATGCTCCCCATCAGGGATGTCTGCTCATCTCCTTTAGGATTCTGGCACCACAGAATATTACTGACACTTCCCTTGCACCGTCACCCCCATATCCTTCCTGTATGCTCACACTGTCCAAACTCAGGCCTTATCTTACAGCTATGGTTGCTGTAACATTTTACTTAATTGCACACCCCTCCCACAGGGATTCAGGTGTCAAAAATTCATCCTCCACAAGTTCTGGCTACACAGTCCACTCCCTCCAGTGCCTAACCATCTCCCAGACTAGTAATTGCCCTTGAATTTACCTGTATTCTTCTGGAAATGCAGCTGTATGTATTTTCCAAAGCGGCTACTGTTGTCATTCATCACAGTCTGGGCATTGCCAAAAGCCTCAAGCAACGGATTTACCTAAAACAAGTGAGCAAGCAGAAAAACCATTCTTCAAATTAAGTGATCAAATCTAACTTACTTGGAAAACTTCAACTTAGCATTTACTATTTGGCATTCAGCTGGAAAAGGAGCCACTTTATGAGTACCCAAAAGTACCTGTTTTATCATACTCTGGATAAAGGAACTTGAAGAAGCAAATGTAACAAACATTAGCAGCATGAAATTACTGAAAATAAGCACAAATTGATTTGATATCAGTAAGATCATTGACTCATTTGTTAAAATACAAGGTCACTGTAACAGATTTCCATAAAGCATCTGACATGGTATCACTAGATAATTTAACCACTATACTACAACAGCAAACAAGGTAAACATGGCACTCAGTAAATGCAAGCATGGTAACTTAGCTACTAAAATGTGTAGACAGCACAAGACTCAGGACAGTGAATTATAAAGAAACTAATAATCTGATCATCTTGGTAAACTGACTGGAAGCAAGGTGAAATGACAATGCTGTTTCCACACCAGAGCACTGACATTCATCTTGGATCCACCATGGATGATACCACACTGAAATAACATGCTCTTCCAGAGCCTGAAGCATGGTGCAGTGTATTGGGTTTGTGCAGCAAGATTTTGGTAGTGGAAGGGCTACAGGGGTGAATTCTGTGAGAAGATGCCAGAAGCTTCCCCCATGTCCAACAGATGGCTCAAAGACAGACAACCCACTGCTGGCCAAGGCCAAGCCATCAGCGATAGCACCTCTGTGATAACATATTTGAGATGGGAAAAAAAACCCTGTGCTACAGGAGCCAGAATATAGGATTGAAAATGTGGGAGGAAGAACTCTGCAGACAAAGGTCAGTGAAGAAGGAGGGGGAGGAGGTGCTCCAGGCACAGAGCAGAGGTTCCCCTGCAGCCCGTGGTGCAGCCCATGGCAAGGCAGCTGTGCCCTACACCCATGGAGGTCCATGGTGGAGCAGATCTCCCCCTGCAGCACAGGGAAGACTCCACACCAGAGCAGAGGGATGTGCCTGAAGAAGGCTGTGACCCTGTGGGAAGCCCACGCTGGAGCAGGCTCCTGGCACGACCTGTTGGAGAGAGTAGCCCACACTGGAGCGGGTTTGATGGCAGGACTTGTGACCCTGTGGGGGACCCACCCTGGAGCAGTCTGTTCCTGAAGGACTCCACCTCATGGAAGGGACCCACGCTGGCACAGTTTGTGAAGAGCTGCAGCCTGTGGGAAGGACTTATACTGGAGAAGTTTGTGGAGGACTGTCTCCCACAGGAGGGACTCCACACTAGACTGAGGAAAGAGGGTGAAAAGAAAGGAGCAGCAGAGAGTGTGTGATGAGCTGACCACAATGCCCATTCCTCATCCTCCTGCACTACTGGTGGGAGGAGGTTGAGAAATCAGGAGTGAAGTTGAGCCTGGGAGGAAGGTGTTTTAAGATTTGTTCTTATTTCTCATTATCCTACTCCGATGTTAATTGGCAATAAATTAGTTTCCCCCAAGCCAACTGTTTATCTGTGACAGTAACTGCTGGGTGATCTCTGTCCTTATCTTGACCCACAAGCCTTTTGTCATATTTTTCTCTGCCCTGTCCAGTTGAGGAGTGGGGGTGATAGAGGCTTGGTGGGCACCTGGTGTGCAGCCAAAGCTAACCCACCACACACAGAAAGTTCTCTCTGCCTCTACAGGAAACCTGTAAACAGACTTTAAAATGAAGTAGTCCAAGAACCCAATCTGCTGAATCTATCACATGGACAGTTAAAGTATGATCTGATCAAAAAACCTCACAACACCTTGGGGAGCAACTCAAGTGGAAATACTTCAGAGCAAAGAGACAAATACATTTCAAAATCAGCTAGCAAAGGTATAGGAAAACAGCAAAGATGAAGTTAGCAAGTATGTGCCTGACAGTAAGTAGAAGCAGCCAAGGAAAGGTGACTGAAGGCTGTGTGGATTCCCCATCCATGTGTACCATTAAATCAAGACAATTTTTCTAGTAAAAGTCCTTGTTCAACCTAAAAATGCTCCTAATGCCTTGTCACAGAGAACATGATAAATGACTGCAATAGTTTTCTATCATTTAAGATACCACTACATTCCCACCAAGCAGAACTGCTGACCTACCAACCTTCTAATTTGTGGTTAGTTATTTCACCATCCTTACCCACTATTTTCTTATGTGTCTCATGTTTTGCTCCCTGACTTCCAGTGGCTATTCATCAGCAGGCTTTCTGAGCTTTATGCAAGCTGTCCTGCAGCAGTGTTGCTTCTGCACCTTCAAGCACCATCAGGTAATGACCTACCTGAAGGATCTGCTGTTCCAAATGCAAGTTGCCTTTACATAGGTATATTATGTGCTTCAACAACAGCTGCGTACTCTCCGTTTTCCCTGCACCGCTCTCTCCACTGCCAAGAGAAAGCAAAGGAAATTCCAACAGCTGTATCATTGTTCTGTCCCTTATTTCTTAGTGTCCCATTACTTGGGCATGCTACCCTGTCCAAGAGTTTCATAACTTTTTCAGCTAAAATGCATGTGTGAGTACAAACTCACACCACAGCTTTACACAGTGGATTTCACAAGGTCCTGATCCCTCTTCAGGGGAATTTTCCCCTCATCTACAAGGAAGTAGAGGTATACCCCATGCCATCACTTTTGGACAGGGTGCACCCAACCGAGACCTTTTGCCCTGTTTCTTAAAAAAAAAAATAAATGTATCTAACTTCTGGAAAACAACCTCCTTCAAAAGTGGTCTGATAGAGCAACTGGAGTCACATATGCTGGAGTTGACAGCTTCCTCTTTCTTCAAAGAGATTTGCCCCATCCATCTCATTCACAACTGAGTACTGATGTCAAGATAGTGCAGCAATCTCAAATCTCAGGCACTTCACACATTCACATGCATCAGCCAGCTGAGAAGGTGGGCACACTACCACAGAGCTGTCCGCACACCCACAGGAGTGCACGTCACTCCGCCATCACATGCGCCCAGCACCTCCACCTCCAAATCAAACAAGCAGCACTCGGAAAGCACAGTTTCCCCTCTCCTGGAAGGGGGAATTGTACAATCAGTGAGACGTGTCCTTGACTGACAACATCATACAAGCAGAGAACTTCAGTGTAGGCACAGGAAAAAATAAATGCAGGAAATGCTGAAGGTGTACTTGAGGGCAGGCCTCTGTTTCCACACACGAACTTTGAGCATCTGGTGTAGCTTTACTGCTTTGTAACTTTCAGTAGCTGTGCTTGGGATCAAGTATGCGTCATAGGTGGCTGAATACCTCAAATACACCAGATACCTGATATCAAGCACAGATCAGGTCATCTGAATGTGCACAAAGAAAGTAAGACCATTTTTCCAGTTGAGAACATGCCATCCAGACATTGTAGCTGCTCAGTATGTTTTTTTGTATTCAGTGACTTCCTTCCATCACAAAAGCGCTATCAGTCAGCATTCCCATGGTTCAAGCTTATCCTTCTATCCTCCAGCAAGCACAACAGCTTTATCAGATCATGAACACTCTCCAGCTGCAGGTATGTAATTGCCCCAGGCTGTGAAAAAAAATCAGTCATCTCCAGGAGACCCAAGTGCTGCGCCACAGCATACCCAGGCTGTGACTAACACCCACTGGGATTGGGAAGGCAAGAGGAACCAGTGGAATTTACAGCACTGGATAACTTGATTGTAACGAGCATTTGCCACATAAGGGCAGCCACTGTGTCTGAAACATGCCATCCAGAACTCCCACACTAAGTTGGAGACCAAAGAGACCACAGAGAATAGTGGAACCTGGTGTGTCCCCATGGTGTTCTAATGAACTGTCTAACACGAGTGACTTCTTCCTCCCCCCTTCGCCCCAACTTTCCTCATGACTGCTAATCTTATTAATGAATGTTTCACCACTTGCAGAGAGCAAAACCTTGATCTTCCTGTGACAGCAACACACAGACCAGTTAATAGGGTTGCAAGACACACAACTCTCATGTCTGAGACCACAAACTGCTGACAGAAAACAATCAGAACAGTGACTTCTTGCACATGTCCAAAGGTTACTTATTCTTGTCTTCCATCTCCCAAGACAAGCACTATGACTGTTCTCCATCCTAAGAGCCCTACCAGCAGCACCTCTTCTACCCTGCTGACTCCATGGCCTCCAACCACTTGATGTGAAGCACAGGCACTGGCTTGCAGGCTAGAGAAATGAAAGGGGCTCAACTGACCCTCAAGGTGAGCTCGCAGTCCCACCACAACACTCAGCAGTAATTCAGAAAGTCTTTTCCACACCATGTAGTCTGAAAATACTGCTAAAATGACTGGTAGGCAAATATAAAAAGGGAGTATTAAACCAAAAAAAAAGGCAATTAACATTTTCACCAAGATAAAATTTAAACTGTTCTGTACAATTTCCAGAACACAGTGCATGTTTTGAGGCTTTCTCTGCTAGTTGATGTTGTTTGAAACTTTCCCTGCTACTAGATACTATTTGCTGTCCTGCACAGTTTCAGCAGAACAAAACCATCACACACAGAGTGAAATGCTTGTGACAGGGGTAAACTCTTAAATTACATGAGCCCATTTTTTTCTCTTCTAGTCCACAGAAGTGCCCAGGACAGGAAGATTTTTCCCAGACCAGATTACCAAAAGTGTTGGGCCAAAAAAAAAGCTTCTGTTTTCCTTTCTCCCACTCTGTGGTTATATATGGGAAGCTCCACTTTGGGAAAACAGGTTCCTCTCGTTACTGTTAACGTTTATTACAGCAGTTACAGCAGAAGCTGTTTTGCCCAAAACCAACACTCTATGCTTTCTCCAGAACTGGTTAAATCTTTCCAATACCAATTGTCCTCCAGACACAAACCTGACATATTTAGCTGTGTTACCAACACCGGCAGCTGAGCTGCTTCACAAAAGCCAGCTTTCTCTGCCACACACCTCCGTTCACAGCCTGCCTGCTCTCAGCAAGAGCCATATGTTACGAGTGCAGTTGGGTTTTGTCTCACCACCAGCACTAGATATGAATGAGCTTCACCTGAAGCTCCAGCGGGCAGAGCCCAGCGAGAGCTCGCTGGCCGTCACCCGGCCCCCGCCTCTGCCTGGCTCCGGCGAGCCCCCAGCCCGGCCCGGTCACCCTCACCTGATGGCGATGCACTGGTTCTGGGGGCTGCACTTCCCGTGACCCAGGATGCCATGGTAGGCCCGGCTGGCCACAGCAAAGATGTGGGGGGGCAGGGCGCCTGTCTCGGCGCACCGGTACCGCTCGGAGACCTGGAGGGAAGCGGAGGGGGCTGTCTC